AGGCGCCTTTGCATTTCCTTTCTAAACAATCTTCTGCCATCGTCTTGTCTTTTTCACCTCACTCTTGTCAGTCAGCTCGACTCATTCTCCTCACGTGATAAATAAAATCGGACTCCTGCTCCGTGGTGCACGGTTCGGCACATTGAGTTTTTCCTCAGATTTCTTGGCTTTCAAATAGCTTGAAAAAGCGCCGTGCATATTTTACTTTCACTTTCAAATTAGCGGCAATTATAAATAAAATACACAAAGTTTAAATAAAGTAATCAGCAAACACTGTGGAATCAAATAAATAAGAAACAAATGTTTAAATAAACTTCCAGTCAATAGGCTTTTCAAAATATAAAATATAAAACAGGCGCCTTTGCATTTCCTTTCTAAACAATCTTCTGCCATCGTCTTGTCTTTTTCACCTCACTCTTGTCAGTCAGCTCGACTCATTCTCCTCACGTGATAAATAAAATCGGACTCCTGCTCCGTGGTGCACGGTTCGGCACACTGCATTGAGCATTTAGTTTTTAAAAGTGTCTGTCCTCTAACTGAACTAGGCTAAATTATTTTTGTTACTATAAATAAATCAAAACGGCGGGGTAGCCAAATGACGTATCCGGTGTTGCGGCTTAACACCGGTGTAACCGAAAACACCGTCTATCGCAGCAAGCCTACCGAGTACTGTAATGTCTGTTTCACAAGTGAGACCCAGGAAATCCCTTATATGGAGAAATGCATCAGATATCACTACAGCTGAATAACATGCAGATAGAGACGCTTTTACTGATGAAACGTGGAAGACAATAAACACACAATTGCAATGCAATAACTGACATAGCTTGTATCACAGTATAGAATTTTATAACAAAATATTTTCTGTCTCACTGTGATAAGAAGCAACATGGAACCACAGAAGCTACTGTTTCAAACACGAATGATGTTATATAGTGATTTTGGAGTAAAACATGAAAAAAATAATGTGGGGTATGGGTAAGGTTGGGCATCGTTTGAATTTTAATGATTCCAAGTCTTGTCAATTCCTAATTTCGATTCCAATAAGGTAATAAATAAATGAATAAATAAATAAAAAATCTTAGATATCTTATTAAAAAATATTTCATAGTTAGCTGAATACTATGAATGAAAATCAACAGGCTAAAGAACACTTACACAAGGATGTGTGTGCAGCAGAGAAAACAGCCTGTGAGTCTTCTTGACTTGAATGGATTAAAATCACATTGAAAGTGTAGTTTGTAATAATAACAAAGGTGGACTCCAGGCACATTTTCGGTAGGACAAAAAAA